AGAACAGGGAATACACTGGACATGTGGGCACTTTCTCTTTTGTAGCTTTTATTTGGAAAAGTTCACTTTTCATAGGATCACATTACAACCTTCCCTTCTACCTGGTTTTTGGTATTCGTCTCAGCATTAAGTGGTGAACTGAAGACACATTAGGAACATCAGAGTGGATGGGAAGGTTAAAAAGACACAATCATACCAGTTCCAGCCAGGTGACCTTGTCAAGTCCCTCATTTCACTTTCATATTAAAAATGGGAATGCGACATCAACTACTCTACCAGGTTGTTGTAAGAAACACAAGAGAATGTATGCAAAAGTAAATAAAATCTTACTATTTATATAAATGTAACATGTCATCATTGTTCAGCAGTACCCAAACTTTCAAACTCACTGTTACTTGAAGTTTAATTTGAATTTAAACATCTGAAAGTTTTTTGTTGTGGTTGTTCTTCTTCTTCTCTAGCAATCTATGGGCTTGTTTGGTATCAGCTGTCCGTAAATCTCCACATAAATATCCTAGGAAACTAAGAAATACACATTTGCTTCTGACAATGCCTGGTCACATCAGACTTCCTTCTGAGTCCCTCTGTGGTTAGCTACTAGTGCTGCCTTCTCCAACTCTCAGATTTCCTCAATTTACCCTTCCCATCTCCACCTCTCCCACTTTGACCCCCTCCCCCACCTGTAAAAACTGACTTGTGACCCCCCAAAATTCATGTGTTGAAGCCCTAACCCTCAACATGACTATATTTGAAGGTAGAGCCTTTAAGGAAGTAATTCAGGTTAAATGAAGTTATAAGGATAGGGTCCTAATCCGATAGTACTGTTAATTCTTATAAAAAAGAAAAGATACCAGAGACCTTTCTCTGAGTCCGGCCGGTGTGGCTCAGTGGTTGAGCATCGACCCATGCACCAAGAGGTCACCAGTTCGATTCCTGGTCGGGACCCATGCCCAGGTTGTGAGCCCGATCCCCAGTGGGGGGCATGCAGGAGGCGGTCAATTGATGTTCTCTCTCATCGATGTTTCTATCTCTCCTTCTCCCTTCCTCTTTCTAAAATCAATAAAGGAAAAATTTTTTTAAAAAGAGACTTCTCTCTGAGCATACAGAGACACGGCCATGTGAGGACACAGGAAGCGAGGTCTCTGTACCTCGATCTTGGACCCCCAGCCTCCGTAACTGAAAAATGTTTCTGTTGTTTTAGCTACCCAGTCTGTGGTATTATGTTATGGCAGCCTGAGCGGACTAATACATTTTAACTCTTCTATCTTCTCTCAAGTACGAAATATCCCAGTTTTTTATACTCCCACTCTACCCTGGAGTATAAGAAAAAAGACAGTGCTTCCTCCTCTTCTCTCAGCTCTTACCCACCAACTGGACCAAAAGCCCTAAGGAGGCAGGGATTGTTCTGGTTGGTTCACAGCTACAACCCTGGCATGGCAAGCATTCATAAATACTTGTTGAATAAATACAGCCCATTCAGTCTCAAATGAGATCTTTTCTTACATGTCCTCTCTCCAATATCTCCAATCTCTGTCCACTAGCTCCTTCTCATTTTCACACATGTACAAGCCTCCCCATTTAGAACAACTCACTTGATACCGCTGTCTTTTCAAATGTCCTGGTTCTCCAATTCCTCTGAGTAAGTGGCTGATTTTTACTAGCCTCATTTAGTACCATTCAGTCCTCTTCAGCCCTTTGTAATCTGGTATCAGTCCATCAACTAGAGAGAGAAGTGAGCCAGGTTAAGGAGGCCTCCTTCTAAACCGAACAGTCACCCCTGCCCAGCCTTGCTTCCTCAGTGTCCTACTTTGGACACTGCTGATAACCACTTTCTTTCTTCAGTTCTCTACTTTTGTGCGCCTGAAGACACTGAGCTGCCCTGCTTCTCCTTCTCGGACTACACCTTCTCTGTCTCCTTTGGGCACCTTCTAGGGCTGGACTCTGCTCACTCTTTTCCCTACGCTCACTTCCTTAAAGAGTTTTTCTTTTCCTCTTAATTTAAATTATCAACACTTGATGAGGCTTAAGAAATTACAACTGAGTTGACGGATTTCATTTTAAATACAGAATCACAAGCCTTGAAGGAGCGCTCAGAATAGTCAAGAGGCAGAAAAGCTAAACATCACGAGTGGCTTTATGAATTGTCTTGGGATGCTCTCCACATTCTTAAAAAAAGTTTTTTTCAACTATAGTTGATGTACAATGTAAGTTTTTTTCAATTACAGTTTACATTCAGTATTATTTTGTATTAGTTTGAAGTGTACAGCATATGCTTTACAAAGTGATCCCCCACTATTTCTAGTACCCACCTGGCACATTGCTCTCAGCATTCTGATCTCCTCTTTGACTCGGATCGGACTGCTTTTGTTCTGATCTTGTTTTGGTGCCTGGTCTCAGACTGCTATTTACACTTTCCTTTTGGTATTGAAATGATTATGTCATATTATTGCCTAGCAGTTTTGGTTCTTGTTGTTAATATTTTTTTTTCTTTATTGATTTTAGAGAGGAAGGGAGAGGGAAAGAGAGAAACATCGATGAGAGAACATCGACTGGCCATCCTCTGCATGCTCCCACTGGGGATCAGGTCCACAACCTGGGCATGTGCCCTGACCAGGAATCAAACCGGTGACCTCTTGGTGCATGGGTCAACGCTCAACCACTGAGCCACACCAGCTGGGCACTGGTTCTTGTTTTTAATGTCTTAAGTTTAGCCACCTACTTAAGTCGTAAGACTTTCAATTCAGAACAAACTCTTCAACTGGCACTCTTATCTACAGCAGATTCTCTGGAACATTTAAAACACTTTTAAAAATTGATTTGAGAGACGGGGGTGGGGGGATACCAATTTGTTGTTCCACTTATTTATGCATTCACTGATTGATTCTTGTATGTGCCCTGACCCAGGATCAGACCCTCAACCTTGGTGTATTGGGACAACACTCTAACCAACTGAGCTACCTGGCTAGGGTTTTTTTTTAAATGTACCTTTCCAGGGCCACCACGCTGCACAAGTCTAAGCAGAATCAATCACACTGTATTCTATGTTCATGGTTTCCGATACTAGAACATACTAAGATTTATGTTTTATGTTCTCTTAGCTCAACTCACTGCAGCCCTTTCCCTCTAGTTGTGGCTACTAGATGCCCCCTGTGGTCAGGGCCCTACCTGAATTTCTAGAACTCGCCCTGGCCAGAAATTAGAGATTTAATAGCTCTGGGACTCAATACCAACTTACCCCTATAATTAGTCCAGTGTTATCACTATGTTCTTCAGTTCTATTAAAAGAGCTTATTTCCAAGACCTGAGTCCTAGTTCTGGTTGGTACCTTGTATCCTGTTTTGCTTTGGTAACATGCCTAGGACTCTAGTCCTACAGAGAAGCTCTTTACTTCCTGTTAAAAGTTTCTCACGCCAATTGCTTACTGAAATGCCTGCCAACTGTCCAATTGCCATGTACTTGGGATACTAATGACATGGTGGACTAGACCTATAGCTGCTTCTGTCAAATCCCTGCAGAAGCATCTAATCACATCTTCTGACCACTTCTTTAGCCTTCCCCACCATGCTGTTGACCATGCCTAGCAACAGCTATATCAAAATGAAAGGCCATTTAGCCTCTTTTATTTTATTATTAAAAAATTTTTTTTCCGCCCTGGACAGTTTGGCTCAGCAGTTAGAGTGTTGGCCTGTGGTCCAGAGAGATCTGGGTTCGGTTCCCGCCAGGGGCACATACCTTGGTTGCAGTTTGTCCCCGGCCCTGGTTGGGTCGTGCGGGTGGCAATCACTCAATGTGTCCCTTTCATGTTGATGTTTCTCTCTCTCTCTCTCCCTCCCACTCTATCTGAACAAAATGGAAAAATGTCCTCGGGTGAGGATAAAAAAACAAAATTTTTTTTTCTTTATTGATTTTACAGAGAGAGGAAGGGAGAGGGAGAGAGAGAGAGAAACATCAATGAGAGAGAACAACTGGCCGACTCCTGCATGCCCCCCACTGGGGATGGGGCCCACAATCTGGGCATGTGCCCTGATTGGGAATCAAACCAGCAACCTCCTGGTACATAGGTCGACACTCAACCACTGAGCCACACTGGCCGGGCTATTTAGCCTCTTTTAAAACAGGATACCTCATGAGCCGTTCTCTCACATTGATGTTTTTCTCTCTCTCTCTCCCTCCCTCCCACTCTTATCTAAAAAAGTCAATGGGAAAATATCCTTGTGTGAGGATTCAAAATAAACAAACAAACAAAACTTAATACCCCAATCAGAAAAGTAGTATTCGGATGTTTTCTGATAATGAATATCAACTCTCTTGTTATAGATACTATATCAAGTGATTTAAAGTCACTTTGACTGTAAAATCATCAAACTTTTAAAACATGACTTTCTAAATATCTTTACCATGCTGGGTATTTCATCTTCTACTGGTTGACACAAAATATATACTGGCCCTATAATATGAACTACTCTGAATCATAACAAAGCAAAATGTGGTAAGAAGAAATAACAAAACGAATTATATTAAATATGATCAAAATTATCCCTAGCAACTAAAACCACCTGCCCAAGTTATTTGTTTACATGCCAAGAAACAACTTCTTTACCATAAAAGTGTTTGCACATTTTCTTTTATTTTCTTTACTCTAAAGAGAAATCTCAGGTGTATTTACTTATCAATTCATCACCTCATCAAATTCTGAAAAAATAAAATAAAAATAAAAATCTATAAAGTACATGTGAATTTATAACTGCAAAACAAACAAACAACGAAGAACCCTTATTTTGTTCTTGGAAAACTTTATTTGTGTAAACAAAAAAGCAAATGTTACTTGTCTCATCCGGGGATAAGTGGGAGTCTGGCCATCCTTTATAGCTGTAAACTGGCAAATTCCAAATGAGAGATGTGATCTAAGTAAAAGACACTTATTAATCCAGATTATATTTACCTCCAAAAGAGATCATGAAAATTAGTAAAAAAAAAAAAAAAAATTAGAAACAGATTTACATAAGGTCACATCAGAAAAGTTGAGAAAGTGATGGCTAATGCTTTGGGAAATTATATTTCCAAGTTAATACTCAGAAGAATAAATTCTTAAAGATCAGGAACAGGTGATTTATACTATAAGTATTAAAAACAATGATATGCACTTTTTTTCAGTTTCATATGAAAATCAGGAATCAAGATGTTATTTAAAATTTAGATGTAGGCCCAAACATTTAGTCATTGACCAAAATAGAAAATTTGCACTTCTTTACAGGAAACATAAAAATATGACTGTTTGGATCTTGTCTTCATTTATACTTGATAAGTCCAATTTTAATGTTTACCAAAAACAAGAAAACAAAAAACATGATAGTGTTGTTACATGCCTGAAGAAGATTCGGAACAGAATGTCCCCATTAACAACAAACTAAGAAATCTAGTTCAGTCTACAGATTTTATTTTTGATCAAGTAATAAACTTTTGGTTTATTCTCTCAGTCTGTCTCCTGTTAACATGTACAGCTTGTCAGATAACCACATCAATGATTTATAAGCTCTCTTTCCACTAGAAATAACAAGACAACTCAAAATAGCAATAATGGCCTTCGATAGTTTTGTTTTACTAATGAGCTGACCTTATTCCAGTGAAATTATCCAATAGTCTTTGATTTCAGAATTACTTATTATAATAGAATCATATACAGAAATTCTGATCAATAATCTTTCTAAACAAACTATTTACAAATGCAAAATATGCAATATTGTTTAAAATAAATATACAATATATAGTTTCTACATTCTCAGACAGCTTAAAAATGAGGTAATAAAAACTTAACTGGTTAAACCTTTTACCATTCTGGAAATGGCTTAGGAAAATGATGATGAAATTTTTTCCCCTTAGGTCTTTTCACTTTTTATTTGAACGTTTGTTTCTGAGTACTTCCTTTCCTATGCTGAAAAATTATGTAAAAAATTCTTAAGCTTTGTTGGATAGTCTGTCATCACCCCAGTTGCTCCCAAATCAAAAGCTCTTTTGTATTCTTGTTCTTCATTTAAGACCCAAATATACACCTGAAAATTAAAAGTATGAGAAGTATGAGAGCAGAATTTAAGATAGAAAATTATTTTCATAATAGCATTTATCCACTACAATCTCTGCACACTCAGAAATAATCTTTTAAATCTGCAATTTTAAAAAATCATTGAACTCTTTTTAAAAATTTCACTTTGCTCATTAAATATTCACTGTACTAACCCTCTGCCTTCAGCTACTCTCACCTCTACGTAGTGGACTTTAGTTACTGAAATGCCAATGTTTCTTGTTCACTATAAGTCAGAACTAAAGGTCTTCATATGTCAACCAGTAGAGCAACAGCATCAGAGTTGGGACCAAATTAAGTCAGTTAAAAGTTCCGGCCCCTTACACTTGTGTTAAACTGATAAACTAGGCTGTTTTCAAAATGCATCATTCCAGAAATTTACCTGAATGCCTCGGGCAGTGAGGTGGTCAAACAAAGCTTTTCTCATTAGTAAACTAGAAAAGAAAAGCAGAACAGATTTAGGTACTTCTTAGCCATACATAGGACTAAAATTAGTCCTTAGTTCTAACTTAGTCAAGTTTCAAGCAATGGCCTCCAATAATGACCTCTGCTGGGGATGCATTTCTATCTGAACTGCTGGATCTCTTCTCACTGCTGGCTGCTTGCCGGTGAACTTTAATCCTCGCCCGAGGATATTTTTCTATTTATCTTCAGAGTTGGGGGGAGGGTGAGAGGGAGAGAGAGGAAAAGGGGGAGAGAGAGAGAGAGAAACAGAGAGAGAAAGAAAGAGAGGAACATTGACGTGAGAGGGACACATTGACTGGTTGCCTCCTGCACAACTCAGACCAGGGCTGGGGATGAACTGCAACCGAGGTATGTGCCCTTGACCGGAATTGAACCCGAGACTCATTGGTCCACGGGCCAATGTTCTAAATGCTGAGCCAAATCAGCCAGGGCGACCAGAACTGCCTTTCTACTCCTTGCTGCCACTAGATCCTCAAGAGACCCATTCTTTTTTTTTTTTTTTTATCTTCACCTGAGGACATTTTTGCATTTATCTTCAGATAGAGCAGGAAGAAGAGAGGAAGGGAGAGAGAGAGAAAAACATCGATGTGAGAGACACACATCGAGTGGTTGCCACCCCAACTGGGGCCGGGGACATACTGCAACGGAGGTACGTGCCCTTAGCTGCAACTGAACCCGGGACTCTCTGGTCCGTAGGCTGATGCTCTAACTGCTGAGCAAAATCGACCAGGGCAAGAGACTCATTCTTATTGGAGCAGCTCATTGAAGTCTGAGTTCTTTTTCTTTCTTTCTTTCTTTTTTATATCCTCACCCGAGGACATTTTTTCCATTTTTTATTCAGATAGAGCGGGAGGGAGAGAGAGGAAGAGAAAGAGAGAAACATTGACGTGAAAGGGACATATCGAGTGGCTGCCACCCGCATGACCCAACCAGGGCTGGGGACAAACTGCAGCCAAGGTACGTGCCCTTAGCGGGAACCGAACCCGGGTCTCTGTGGACCGCAGGCTGATGCTCTACCACTGAGCCAAACTGGCCAGGGCAGAGTCTGAGTTCTTAAGTTTGCAAGTTAAAATAAGATGGTAAACCTGGGTCAAGTTCTATAACATCATAGCCCATTTACAGAACAGAGTCATCTTTTGTGAACTCTCTTAGAAACCTAATGTCCAGTAATTACACTATCCTATATATAGTTAAAAAAAAAGCATTTCTTTTAGCTCCAAATAACCTACTTAAAAGTGAACTTTTAGAGACCTGGATGGTTTGCTCAGTGGCTAGAGTGTCAGCCCTCTGACCTAAGGTTTGTGGGCTAGATTCCCGGTCAAGGGCACCTGGGTTGCAGGTCTGATTCCCAGCTCCAGTTGGGGTCTTGAGGGAGGAAACTAGTCGATGTGTCTCACATCGATGTTTATATATCTCTCTCCCCCTCCCTCCTTTCCACTCTGTCAAAAATCAATGCAAAAAAAGAAAAAAAAGAAAAACACAAATGAACTTTTAGAATATAAATCACTTGAGCAAGATGGGAACTGTTGTACTGAAAAGTTATACATCTAATTTCTAGTCTGTTTATGTTTATTAGAATGATTAAAGAACAAAAACTAAAAATCATGTGTATTTAACATAAATTAAAAATGTCCTTGAAAACTAGAAAATTAAATCACGAACAAAGCCAAAAACAATAAACCTTGTGGCACAGAGAAAAGATGAAACTAGTTTTCCAACTCTTTGAAAAAGCAGCTAAGTTCAAAAAGCTGTGACTAAGGACTATTATTTAGGCATTCAAAGTTCCATTTTAAAATAAAAGATAGTACAATAACTTTGTGGGTTTTACCTAAAAAATAAACTCAACATGTCTTAGAAATTAAAGCATTTTCTTTCAAGTAAATGGCTATCCTATCGGTAGGGCTTCCTTTCTGCCAAATCTTGGTACAGATTTTTCTGAGAAATGTGCCATTAATCAGTATACATTTTACATATAATGTATTGCTATACACACTTCTTTTCATCATGTTCTTGACTTCAGGCTAGTGGAAACAAATAAGTAGAAGAAAATGGTTATACCATATCCTAGCTCTGCTACTAACTAGCTAGATAACCACAAGGAAATCATTTAGCTTTGGGTGGGTTGGTGCTCAGTTTTCCCCTGAAGTTGAATGAGATTACCTCCCTAGATTCCACCTAAGGCTCTGTGACTAGTAACTAAGCTAGTTCTACATGATTCATACACATCCATTTGTATAGTTGGTACCCAACACATCCTTGTTATAAATTACATACAGAAAGCTCACACTAAATGTAAGCACAGTATTTAACAGATATAGCTAAAACAATAACTTGTATATCAAGAAACTATAATTCTTACATATCAGAAAGCCAAATAAGAAACTTCTGACTTCTGGACATTGTGTGTGGTTCTTTCAACCTGAGACAAAATAAAATTTGAATAAATTAGAAACACAGTGTGATAAAATAAAACAAGTTCAAAAACAAAAAGTACCTTGCACTTAGTATGTACTAAAAAAAATTCGTAAAAGGACACACATAAATTAAAATAAAGCCCATTTAGTTTCTCTATTTCCATTTATCTCAGGTTAACTTTTTGCGACCACTATTGAAAAGTTAAAAGAAAAAGTCATTTTTCTGGAGACCCCGAGTGTCCAGGGCTTATATCTCTTCTCTTTTTTTGGTGAAGCCTCTTTCTCTTGCTTTGTCTGCTCTGATTTAGTATATATTTTTAAACACACAACCAAACTTTAGATTAAAAGACATTTGGGTTAAAAATGAGAAAAAAAAAACAAACAAACCATAAAAGCGTGTTTTTTCTTTCCCTTTCAATATTTGAAAAACTAGGCCCTGTAGTTTTTAATTATCTTTGCTATTGAAAGAGCACACGACTTTTAGACCTATGCTGTTTCTTCTTCAACCTCGCTGATGCCCAGAAAGCACAACTACCTGTGTTAACTTTGGGCTGTACCCATAGGGAATCTCTGATTAGCCTCTCTACCATGAAGATTTCTCAGCTTCTTTCTAAGTTTAATAGCACACAGTGATTCTCAGTCTCCCCAGATCTTCATTTCTTGTTTTCTTTCTAAAGCCACCTATCTATGTACTCAGTATAATCCCCTGAGTCCCCACACTTAAGTTCATTTTTTTATTTCTCACTAAATTCAGTTTTTATTAGAAACTCTTAAATAAAATCCTTTTTTCCCTAACTCTAGCCAAGGTAGAAAGTCCTGGTTGTTATTTCCTAGATCTCATGGATTTAGTATCTCAAATACATATTACCTCGTTAAACAAATTATTATGTTGTCTTAGAAGGTACCCATTGTCTGCCATAAAAAAAATCCCAAACATTAAAACATACACACATAATGTTTAACCTGTGTCTCAATCCATAGTCACTTTTTTTTTTTCCTCACAGAGGACATTTTTCCATTTTTTGTTCAGATAGAGTGGGAGGGAGGGAAGGAGAGGGAGAGAGAGAGAGAGAGAGAGAGAGAGAAACATCGACATGAAAGGGGCACATCGAGTGGCTGCCACCCGCACAACCCAACCAGGGCTGGGGACAAATGGCAACTGAGATACATGCCCTTAGCGGGAACAGAACTTGGGTCTCTCTGGACCGCAGGCTGATGCTCTAACTGCTGAGCCAAACTGGCCAGGGCCATAGTCACTTTTTAGAGAAAAGATTAATTATATATGAAGGGATTAATTATATATGAAGGTTGTTAGACTGACAAACCTCAAAAGGAAGGGAGGTGGTGGGGAGAAATAAATCAAAGCTCTTATATGCATATATGCATAACCAATAGACACAGACAACAGTGTGGGGAAAGGCAGGAGGGGGGCAAGATTGGGGAGGAGGGGTCAATAGGGGAAAAAGGAGGAACATCTGTAATACATTTAACAATAAAGATAAGTTAAAAAAAAACAAAGTAAAAAAATAAATAAATAATAAAAATTAAAAATTTTGAAAATGAGAAAGGTATTCTAAATAGGTAAGTGTATATTTTCTCATGGAAGACCTGTCAAAATTATCAGGTTACTAAATGACACAAATAACATGATATCATCTTAAAAAAATTAATTATATAAAGTTTGTTCATATGTTTGTATTTCAATAGTATTAGCTTGTAAAACGCACACATGGAGATCATCTAGAGAACACGAGAGTCCATTCCAAGCCAGAGGAAAGCTAAGCACTTTAGGAATAAATAGTTACGAATAATTTTAATCTATAAAATAAAAATTATTTCTTTGTAAACAAGAAGTGATTTCTGTTGTTTTGTCTGAGAAATAGCTACAAAGACTGATAATAAATATAACTGGGAATAGATAAGAATGCTCATCACTAAGAAACAAACTGGCATGAAACAGATACTGAATACAAGAGTACTGACCAAAATTGCTTTTCTTACTAAAATTTTCTGTTTTCTTAATTTTTTTTACCTTTTTTTTTTTTTTTTATGGTACATGCCCCTAGCAGGAACCGAACCCGGGACTCTCTGGTCTGCAGGCCGACGCTCAACCGCTGAGCCAAACTGGTCAGGGCACTTACTAATATTTTCTAATGGTTAATGACTAATATTCAGCTTGGTTTTTAAAAATTCTGTTTGGGGATGAAAAATGTTTTCATGCAGGTAAAATCATATTTAAATGATCTCCCAGGAACTCTGAATTACTTTGTCATGACTCAGTTATTATTATAAATTTATAGCTAGAAATCACATTCTGAGGATGCAGGATCATGAAATGAAGCTTTCTTTTTAGAGAAAAAAAATTGTTTTTAATTGATTTTAGAGAGAGAGGAAGGGACAAGGAGAGACAGAAACATCTATGAGAGAGAACATCTATTGGCCACCTCTTGCATGCCCCCCACAATCTGGGCATGTGCCCTGACCAGGAATTGAACTGGCGACCTCTTGGTGCACTGAGCCACACTAGCCGGGGGAAGCTATCTTTCTTTAATAATAGTGATAAAGATAATTTAATAATAAAAGCTATTGTTTATTGAGTGCTTATTATTTGCCAGGCAATATAAGTGTTTTATATATTTTTTTCTTTGTAGTAAATTAGTGTGTGAAAAGCAAGGTTTTGTACCCTGTAGAGAACTTATGCATACATAGAAATATCTTATATAAACGAATTCTATCCTTTTCTTTCTATGTCCAGAGGTTTTGGGGGTTGTTGTGGTGGCAGTTGTTTTTCTTCCTAAATATATTAATACTAGTGGGTGAATTTGAAATTTGATGGAGTTTCAGCTTTGTATAGCTGTCAATGAAGTAGGAAGAAGAAGAGAAGTTGGAGGGCAATTGCTACTAGAATTTAGAATAAGAGGCCTTGGCCAGTTCGGCTCGTGGACCAAAGAGTCGCAGTTTCGATTCCGGCCAAGGGCACATACCTCAGTTGCGGTTCATCCCTGGCCCTGGTCAGGGTCATGTAGGAGGCAGCCAATCCATGTGTCTCTCTCACACTGATGTTTCTCCCCAACCCCAACTCTATCTGAAGATATTTGAAAAAATATCCTCAAGTGAGGATTAAACAATTAAAAAAACAAAACAAAAAAAGAAGTTAGAATAAGAGAATTATTAAACTTCACCAATTAAGTTCGATTCTTTTTACCTGACTTCTAAATGCATAGGCACAGAAATTCATTGTTATGTGAGATGGGTCCAGATTAAATACTTATAATCCTTTATTATTCATTTTGGAGAATGTGTCTTAATTATGTCAAAAAGCATTGTTAATACAGGTCAGCTAATCAAACATGAAAATAACTACAGCAATCTATTCTTTATCATTAATACTGACAAAAATGAGCTTCTTTTTGGACCTCCTATAATGGATAAAAACAGGTAACCACTTACTTCAATATGATAGAAGGCATCGGGATTTCAAAAAACTGTTCTCGAATGGGCACAAAGGGCAGGAGACCAGTGAAGAACAGGCCAAGAATGAGCAGAACACGTTGTAGACTGAAGAGGATGGGAATATCTGAATTCTAAAGACACACGCGATATTTTATATGTTACTTTACAATGGCTCAAATAAAGATTATTTTACAACCCTCAAAATTTCCTAAGACTGTATCTTGACATCTATTAAAAGTACTCCCTGAATTGTCAATATCCAAACACACCACACTTAGAAATGGCTAGTCTTTGACAAATAGGTTAGTACCTATCTTGGAACCCTATAGTGTTAATTGATGACACTAAAGTTTCTGTGTTCTCTGCCTTTGAAACACCACTTCTGGCCCTGGCCAGTTTGGCTCAGCGGTTAGAGCGTCGGCCTGCGGTTCAGAGAGACCTGGGTTCGGTTCCCGCTAAGGGCACGTACCTCGGTTGCAGTTTGTCCCCAGCCCTGGTTGGTTGTGTGGGTGGCAACCACTCGAGGTGTTCCTTTCACATCGATGTTTCTCTCTCTCTCTCTCTCTCCCCCTCCCACTCTATCTGAACAAAAATTGGAAAAAGGTCCTCGAGTGAGGATTAAAAAAAAAAAAGAAACACCACTTCTGTCTGCTGGTGACAGTGCTTATCACTAGAGATTAAACATACCAAATCTAATGGAGCAAGATAAAGAAATGAAAATATGAAATAGTTATAACTATAGCTATATTTAGATATATATTAATACTGTAGCAAATATGTCATTTTTCAGTTATACTATAAATCAAATATAAATAGGATTTTGTAAGCTAGTCCAAGAATCTAACCACTATTTGAAGTTTCTATTGAAAAATAGGTTCAGGATCCCCAAGCCCTTACAATACCAGCATCATGCATATGTGAACCCTTTTCATCTTACAAATTGAAACTCTATACCCTTTATTTTTTTTATCCTTACCTGAAGACATTTTTGCATTTATCTTCAGACAGAGTGGGAGGGACAGAGGGGGGAAGAGAGAGAGAAAGAGAGAGACACATCGATGTGTCTCACATAGAGTGGTTGCCACCCATGTGACCCCAACAGGGACCGGGGACAAACTGCAACCGAGGTACGTGCCCTTAGTGGGAACCGAACCTGGGACTCTCTGGTCTGCAGGCTGACACTCTAACCACTGAGCCAAACTGGCCAGGGAAAAACTCTATACCCTTTAAACCATTCCCCATACTCCCCTCTCTCTGGCCTCTCCTATATTTGTCTCTGAAATAAAAATTATGATAAATTTGAATTTTATGTATAAAAGAAATGTATTGAAAAATATTATGCAAAAAAGTAATTTATTTTAAATATTAGCTCTAAATTACTTGCTTCTTTATTTTTTAAAAAAATAAATAGCCCTGCTTGTTTTGCTCAGTGGTTAGAGTATCGGCCTGCAGACCAAAGAGTCTTGGGTTCAATTCCGGTCAAGGGCACATACCTCAGTTACGGTTTGGTCCCTGGCTCTGGTCAGGTCATGCGGGAGGCAACCAATCGATGTGTCTCTCACTTTGATGTCTCTTTCTCTTTCTCTTTCCCTCCCACTCTATCTGAAGATAAATGGAAGAATATCCTCGGGTAAGGATTTAAAGAAAAAAAAATAGAGTAAATAAGTTTCAGGATTTTTTTCCCCCTCCATGTTTACATGGTGCTTTGTAGTATTTTCAGCATATTTATATACAAGTGTGTCAGCTGCAACACAATATACATGTCCCCGAGAAACCTTGATTTGTGCAAATTCACACCCTAAGAATAATAAGAGCTTAAGGGGAAAATAGGGTTAGGGGCTAACTCTCAAAACATATGCAACTATGGAACCAGAGAACTAAAACCAGTAACTGGTAGGTCTGGAGAGTCATGCAAGGCTGCTGATGGGAGAGGGTGGGTGTGACTGGCATGTCACTGGCATAACAACTTGCCACACCCCATGTCATTTAAATGAGAAAATCTGGGATGGGTTTCAGTAGTTTTTGTAACTGTTCAGGTAATTCCAACACACAGAGAAGGTTAAGAACCACTGCATTAAGTATAAATGAATAAAAAGTCATTAAGTGAGAATAGTACCACGTTTTTCCATCACCCGTGTGAAGCCCACTTTCTTTTATTTTTATATCTTTAGTTTCTAGCATCTTGGAATTTAAGGATCAATGTAAAATTCTTATAAATTACACTTTAAGAATTATAAAAGAGCCCTGGCCAGTTTGGCTCAGTGGTTGAGCGTCGGCCTGTGGACCAGAGAATCCTGGGTTCGGTTCCCGCTAGGGGGACATACCACCAAAAAAAAAAAAGAATTATAAAAGATGCATGACTTAATTATACAACATGTTCATAATATGAATGACAGATCCTGAAATATTCTCATTTGATGTTTAAAAATCACTGTTGAAAGTTTGGGAGTTTTTAAATTCTAAAATGAGAGGGGGCAGAAGGGGGGAGGAGAGGGTTAATGGGGAAAAAGGGGGACATCTGTAATACTTTCAATAATAAAAAAAATTCTAAAATTCTACAGCTGAAAACATACAAACAAAAAAACCAACAACAAAATAAAATAAATAAATAAAATGACAGAAAGCCAGAGGCTTTTAGAAAGATATGTGAACCAAAGGAAAAGTTCTGTGATTCTGGGCCAAATGTGAACTTTTTATTTGGAAATAATTATAGCTTCACAGGAAGTTGTAAAAGCAGTAGAGTCCTGTATATCCTTAACCCAGCTGCCCCAAATGGTGACATGTGATGTGACCGGATGTGTCAAAACCAGGAATTGACACCTGTACATAACTGTTAACTAGGCTATAGACCTCATTCCGTTTTCACCATTTTTCAAACCTGCATTCATCTGTGTATATGTATAGTTCAATGCAATTTTAACCTATGTATACATTTGTGTAACTACCACCATAGTCAAGATACAGAATTGTTTCATTCCTCGTGCTGTCTCTTAGTATTTGCATCCTCTCTCTGTCCCAGTCCCAGTCCCAGTCCCTGTCCCCTGGCAGCCACTAATCTGCTTTTTCTGTCTATAATTTTGAGAATGTTATATAAATGGAATCATATGGTATATACGACCTTTCAATGTTAGTGTTTGCCACTAAGCAGAATGACTTCGAGGACCATCCAGGTTGCATCAATGATTCATTCCCTTTTATTGCTGAATAGTATGTATGGATGTGTCAATTTGTTCAGCCACTTACTCACTGAAGGACATTTGGGTCATTTCCAGAATTTTGGCATTATGAATAAAGCTGCCCAAAACATTCACATACAGGCTTTTGTGTATGTAAGTTTTCATTTTTCTGAGATAACTGGTTAACAGAGTGAGACTGCTCGTTAACATGGTAAGTATACATTTAGTTTTGTAAGAAACTACCCAAATAATTAAGAGCGTGGTTAATTATTACTAACATTTTACATTCCCCAGCATTTGCTATTGTTTATTTGAAAAACATATGCATGATGTAAAAAGATCGACAGGTCATGAAGTCTCCAGTATATTATCTCCCTTTTCATGACACATGCAAATACCATCAGACAATGATTAACTACAGAAAAGTCTTAGTACTAAATTCTTAGGGATCTGAAGCCACTTAGCCCGGTGATTATTCTGTTTTCTCCTTCTGTACACAAACTATCTTGGGAACTTCACAGAGCCTGCTGCACATAAATAAAACTTGCTTTACTGAGGGTCTCAACTGTACTTTTAATTGTAATGCTGCTGATCTTGGATCTGTGATTTCGCTTTGTTTGCTAGGAAGAAAGGTCTGCCAAAAGGAATTCTTTGTATTTTGGAATCACTACTTCTGTCACATTTTATCTGCATTATCACTGTATTCTGAAAGAGAGTCTTCAATGCTGAAGATTTTTAACATTTTGAATTTCAAATTCTCCTAGCTGACTATATATCTAAACTTGCTTACAGACGCTTAGCATACCATTTCAAAATATATCTAAACTAATTTTTACAGATAGTTTCTCCAATCAGAAAATTGTTTAGTGGTTAGATGACCCTAGTTATATATACTATCTGATAATCATGATCCTGGCTTAATTCGATTGATTCTATTGGGAGGTAGAGAAAAGGTTGAGCTATAGAGGTGAAGGTCTAAATACTTTCCTTAATTTGAAATTACATAAAAATTCAATTACCTTACAAATAACAGACATTAAAGTAGGAATAATATTTTGTTTTATAAGATACATAATATTGGTAAACAGCTAATATTAATTAGCATGTGAAAACAATCCTGTAAACCAGTCCAATTACACTGAACTTTATTCTCTATGAAATCAATTATCTATAAATCCATTATCTCTATTAGGAAACTTCTGGTTGGTTGCTTTCACCCAGTACCATTGGTCTTCATATAAAGTCAATGAAATAAGGTAATTAAAAAAATATTACCAAAATAACTTACCATTTATAGATATATAATAACAACAAAGATCATTCTGTATCATTTTTGAAGAATTACCTCTTTGTAGCATTTTCTTACAATTTCATAACTGGCATTACCCCATACTGTTATATGTTCTCGTCTGTACTGCTTCACCAACTCTGAAACCTACAAGTGAAAATTCAAATTTTAATGCATGTGCCTATTTGTAAATCCACTTACATTATTTCATTTGAAAAATAGGTTATAACTGACTATCTGCTAGTGAATAGTAAAAATTTTTGGAAAAACTGATGTATAAATTCAGATTAGTTTATGAAATACAAGAAATTACTTACATTTTACCATTATATGATTTATCTAATAAAATACAATTATTTAGTAATTTGACATACACTAACTACAAACTAAACGAGTTAAGCTAGAAGTTAATATAAATGCTAGAACTACTGGCTCACAGGAGCTACTTTTATCCATGACTGAGACATGACGTCTGAAAACAGGCTTTCCAACAGTCAAGTGATCTCTTCTACCAGGGTATTATTTAAAACAATCCTGATCCCCAGAGCATCATGTTTCTTTAAACATTATCAGTCTATGCAACCACCTAGCCTTATTAGTTTGTGAAATCGGATGCAACATACTCAGAGGAGGCAATGCCTTAAGTACCTTCTTAATCAGCACGCTGTTGTTGACTTTGATATCGATGTTAATGGGAGTGTTAGGAAAGGCCTCAAAAACTTCCTTTAGTAATGGAATTCGGTTATCTTTTCCTTCACATTGGCATGCTGAGAAAGCAAGATTTTTAAACGTATTTTTAAAAGATAATTTTTACTTTTTTTGATGATTAAAAGAGATAAAGTAGTAGTTATAATAGGATATTACAAAATGATGAAAAGTATAAAAAAAGAAAAGAAAAATAATCTAAAATGCAACAATTTAAATATAACCATTATGACCATTTGGTGTACTTTCTCTCCTCTTTTTTCCCCCTCTGCATAATTTAATAGGGTTATAGGGTACCTACAGATTTTACCCTGATCTCTTTACATAAGTAAAAAATAAATATTGCATGTTGATACACAATATTTATAATTATGATTTACAATTTTTTTCATTAAACTTTTTGGGATAACTGTGGATTTACATGCAGTTGTAGGACATAATACACAGAGATCTGTGCACCCTTTACCAGATTCCTTCCCCAACGGTAACCTTGCAAAACTATAATATTATATTATAACCATGACACTGATGTTGATATAATCCACTGATCTTATTCTATAAATATTACTTTAAAAGTTTTCAAAATATTTCGTTGAGTAGCCATACATCAATTTAGTAATTATAATTTAACCATTCCCCTTGAAAAGTAGCAGTGTTTGCCACTCAAAGTATGCCACTTTGGCATAAGGGTTATTTTGAACTGAAGGCAATGGAGAAGTGGATATAAAAAAGGCTCTCTGCCCTCCCCCGATTTACCTTAAAACACAACTTAAATTTGTACAATAATTAATCACCAACGACCATAGACCCTTATCAGCACCAGAGGACTCTACATAACAAACTCCTAACTAGCCTTTATCTTCCATTATTCTCCCACATATTTACCTTCCCACAATTTGCCACCCCAGAAATTCAAAGTCCTTTTCCTTTGTCTTGTCACTTCTCTGAAATTTTATTTTATTTTTTTGTTAAGATGCTATATAAACTCAGGTTCTGGCCATCCCTGAGTTTCTCCCATGAGACATACATATTAATACACTTCTTCTTGTTTTTCTTGTATTAATCTTTCTTTCGTTATAGAGTCCCAGCTGAGAATATAGAAGGGTTTAAGGAAAATGATTTTTTTCTTCCCTATACCCTACTAGTGAGTGGATACTGAGATTGTTTCTAACGTTTTGCTCTGATATTATCATTGAATTTTTCAGAGATTGAGAAAAGTATGTTCAGGCAAGAGAAATACAGGCTGACTCAGTGATGTGTTGAAGAATTTTATCAGTGCAACTCAATCCAAAGAAAATTGAGTCAGGAAAATATAAAATATTAGAAGAGAATTTTGATCGTTCTTTATATTTCCTGAGGGTTATTTCTTTATTCTTTCCCTAGTCCCTTTGCCTCTAATCATTTATATAATATACTATATATACTTTATAACTATTATAAAAATTTCCCCTTCCATCTGAAACTTCTAATCTGTGAATAACCAAATGGTGAAAGATCCTTTCATCTTTAATGCACAGCAAATCAAAACAAAGAAGCATATCGAAAAAGTAATTAAATCCATGTCAGAACATTAATTATAATAAAGGCTCATATGAATAAAAAAAAGAAGAAGAAAATCTGTTACTGTTTTGTATACTATTCCTATTATGCTTTTCTTACTCCTTGTAATTCAGATGGGGCTCAGGGTCATTCTAATGGCACTATCAATCCCACTGGCTCTGTCTCCATGGCCACAGAGAGAGTACATAACCTGTAAGCATAACCATATGTACACTAGGAAAGGTCTCTTGAAATCCTTAGCTGGATGGATCATATACTTTTTTTTTTTTGTTAATCCTCACTCAAGGATATTTTTTCCATTGATTTTTAGAGAGAGTGGAAAGGAGGGAGGGAGAGCGAGGGAGGGGGGAGAGAGAGGGAGGGAGAGAGAGAAACATCAATGATGTGAGAGAGAGACATCAATTGGTTGCCTCCCCCATGTGTCCCCACCACAGCAGGGGATCAAATCTGCAACCCAGGTACGTGCCCTTGACTGGGAATATAACCCAAGACCCTTCAGTGTGAGGGCCGATGCTCTAACCACTGAGCGAGCATCACCAGCCAGGCAGGTTATGTACTTTTGATGCTGTCGGAGGTCCATCTTTATGTGGACAAGGTACACCTAAGAACAAAGCTAACAAATGAAAGTGGAACAAAGAAATGAAGAGAGAGACCAATTATTGTTTGAGCAACTGGAATCAGTCATGTCTGAAGGCATATAACCTCTAGATTTCTTAGTTATGAGAACAAATAAGTTCTTTAAAAATTTTTTTCCTTGAGTTATCTTGAGATGGATTTCTAGCACTCAAACTAAAAGAGTTAACCATTGACTACAAAATTGAACTACAAAATTAATGATGTTAATACACTGGGCTTTCAAAATAGGATGAACTCCCCATTCACTCTCAGAGATAGGCATATGACATAGATCTGGCCAATCATAATAGCTTATCACTTTGTCCACAGCAAATATTTCAAGATGGACACATGAACCCACATTGGACCAATCAGTGTCTTTCTCTAGAATTTTTCCCTTGAAGTTCATAGGGGAGACCGTCTTTTTCCCCTGGGGTCACGGTGCAGGCAAGGTGTGAATTTATAGTTGTCAGTGATCAAGTTCCCTGCCATGTGGACAAAATCCATCTACAGCAGAAGAGGATAAGACCCAAGAGAAGCAGAAACATTAAATGAAGCAAAGAGTCATTTTTGTAATCCTGGACCCAATAATGTTTAATATCAGATCCACCATCATCCCAGGCAGTTAATGATAAAATTAATTTCTTTTTTATCCCTTAAGCTAGTGTAAACTGGTTTCTGTTACTTAAAACCTAAAAAGTCTGAACATGATGTTCTAGTTCTGCATAGTTCAACAAGGCAGTCAGTTGATGCATAAGGTTATTTAAATTAAAATAAAATTAAATTAAAAATTCAGTTCTTCGGGTGCACTAGCCACATTTCAAGTGCTCAATAGTTACATGTGGCTATTGGTGATCGTACTGAACAGTGCCAAACAAACAAACAAACAAACAAAAAATCACACTGATATCACTAAAGAAAGTTCTCTTTAGACAGTGCTATTTAGTTAAGTAAAAAAAATTTTAGCTTGTTAAATCTGGAAAAATCGATTTAGTAGTCAAAAGAACTGCTATGGGCAATAGATATCCACATCCAAGTAAGATACATGCAAAGTTCAACTTAGAGAAAGATCAAACAGACAAAACTAACTTTGGAACAACAAAATGACACATTACCCCAAAATACTATTGCATCAAATAGTGGGGGAAACAAGAAAATTAAAGTGTGCTAAAAAAAAAAAAGTGATAAAGTGATGCGAAGATATTTAAATTGAATGCCTTAGCCAGCATAGAATGTTTAAAAAACAAAAAGAGTTGGAGAAAGAAGTTTGTCCCCAGCATTGTTTGGGACAGAATAACCAGGTTGAAAATACTAAAAAAATGGAAAAGAGAAAAATAACAAATAAGAATGCCAGAACTAAAAAGAGAAAAAAATAAAGGAAAAAAAATGCTAGAAACTAATATAATATTGAATGTCAACTATATCTGAAATATTTTTTAATTAAAAAAAAAAAAAGAATGCTAAGCAAGAATGTCATAGGATGTGTTGAGTGAAGTGGCCTCTAGCATGCTAGAAGTTTAAAACTGATCATTACAGTCAACTCTCGATTACCTAAATTATTATTTTCCATGAAAAGACTACTTTCAAGTAAGGAGGGTAAATAATAAACCCTTCGAGTAATATATTTTATATTCCTTCTTTTTATTTTATTTATTTATTTTATATTCCTTCTTTTTAATATAACCTGTGGCACATGAAAGCACCTTCAAAAGAATTCTTCTCCAGTGAAGTTGTAAACACAAAGAAAGCAAGACCTTGCCTGATCTGTTTATTTCTCTGAGAGTTGAGAGTCTCTCTCTGTCTCTCTCTCTAGTATTTAAAGAAAAGTAAGCAAGAGTTTTGAGCACAGGAACAGGATAAAAAAAAAACCTGAAAATCTTTTTGCCTAATCTGAGTCAAGTTTATACAGTACTACATATTAGTCTGTTTACTGTTTCAAATACAGTAAACTTAAGTTAATTATGAGTTGAATGCAATATGAATTAAAGTTAATTCTTTTTTATACTTGTCTAAAAGTTGAGAGTATATGGCATTGCTATTAGCTAACAGGAACTGGAAGGGACGCCAGGTGAAGCGGCATATGGTGCAGCTGAATACTGGCCTGGTGAAGAGGAGGCCTAGGTTCAAGTCCTAGCTTTGTCATTTACTGGTTATATGACCTTAATTTATCTTTAGGTCTGTTTTCTTATCTATAACAGGAAGAGACAGATGGTTTCAAAGGTCTCTTCACATTCAAAAGTTTTATGACTTTCTGAGGGAGGTATAAAAACCAGAAAAAAATTAAAACATTTTTCTCCTCAAAATATCTTATTTTTTGTGAGGCTTTGACTTTACTCTACCAAGGGAAAAACAGGAAAAACTTCACTTATGAAATTTTCTTAACCTTCACAAGTCCACAATTGACACAACTATTACAAAAAGCTTGGCAAGTATAATTCTATTAATTACAAAAATAAACCCTGGCCAGTTTGGCTCAGCGGTTAGAATGTTGGCCTGCGGGCCAGAGAGTCCCAGGTTCAGTTCCCGCTAGGGGCATGTACCAAAAAACAAACAAACAAAAACTTTGCCCTGGCCAGTTTGGCTCAACGGTTAGAGCATTGGCCTGCGGTCTGGAGAGACCCGGGTTCGGTTCCTGCTAAGGGCATGTACCTCGGTTGCAGTTTGTCCCCAGCCCTGGTTGGGTCGTGTGGGTGACAACCACTCGATGTGTCCCTTTCACGTCGATGTTTCTCTCTCTCTCTCCCCCTCCCACTCTATCTGAACAAAATATCAAAAAAAAATGTCCTCAGGTGAGGATAAAAACAAAACAAAAAACTGTTCCTCAAACCAACACAGCTTAATGATACTTACCTGGAAGGAAAAATCAACAAACATCAGATCTAAATATCACTTACAGATAACTAATTTAAACAATTTTTAAATTTTTTTTTGCCTTTCTAAAATGTCCCAATCAGCCCTGGCCAGTTTGGCTCAGCGGTTAGAGCGTCGGCCTGCGGTCCGGAGAGACCCGGTTCGGTTTCCGCTAAGGGCACGTACTTCGGTTGCAGTTTGTCCCCGGCCCTGGTTGGTCGTGCGGGTGGCAGCCAGTCGATGTGTCCCTTCACGTCGATGTTTCTCTCTCTCTCTCTCTCCCTCCCACTCTATCTGTACAAAGAATGGAAAAATATCCTCGGGTGAGGATAAAAAATAAATAAATAAATAAAATATCCCAATCAAAGAGAAATTTTACTGGCCAACTTTAAATCTAGTTCACAGAACAGTTAACAGTTCTTTTTGAAAATTAGTATCAGTAGCCCTGCTGGTGTAGCTCATTGGTTGAGCTTGATCCATGCACCAAGAGGTTGCCGGTTCGATTTGCATCAGGATACATGCCCAGGTTGTGGCCCGATCCCCAGTGGAGGGCATGCAGGAGGCGGCCAATTGATGTTCTCTCTCATCGATGTTTCTATCTCTCTCTCCCTTTCCCTTCCTCTCTCTCTAAAATCAATAAAGGAAAAAAAAAAAAAAAAAAACTTAAAAAAAAATTAGTATTACTAGATCCTTGACACTGAACCAAAGTTTTAACTATATGCCAGCTATATCATAGACCACAACATGTAGCATCTTATAGTTTTACTGACTTACTTTTGAATCATTCAAAACATGAGGCAAATTGTGATAGTGAGGGAGCCTGTACCTGCTCAGCAACCTGTATCTCAAGCCGGTGTATTTTCCATTCTAACATGTTCCATTCTAACATAACTAACAAACTGGGGCCAAGGGACATGTTTCTTTGTAAGAAATCTTCCCTCAAAAGAAAGAAAACTGCTATGCTGGTAATTAAAAAGTAAAAATGACTAGGAAATGAATGGTTTATACGAGTAACAGAATTCTCTTTAAAATTTAAAATATGGAGCACCTAAATGACATAGAATCAAATGTGAGACAATTAGTAAGGATCTGAAAGGGGTCCCTTCAATTTCTTGTCATTTATTCATTTAGTAACTTATGATTACTATAACTTATAGTAATATTCTAGAATTGGAAGCTTTAGCGGAACAAAGTATCCCTAATAATATGTGGGTTTCTTGTCATAAGTATTCTGGCTTAAATTAACTGTATATACATTTAATAGAATGAATCTATTAAATCTCTGGACTTCATCATCTCAGGGTCAAGATTTCAGATTTGTAAACCTGAGAGAATGTTTTGAGGGCAGTACTTTTAGCTGTAACTTACTATGACAAGAGATCAAACCTATATATAAAATTCTCAGCATAAATGAATACACTGTAATGTAAATATTTAAGCTGCAAATGGAAACATTACCTCTTTGAAATGTGACATCCAGTTTGCCAAGGTAAGGTGGGAGTTCCTTTAAAAGATATGATTGAAAAAAGTTAGCTCTCAAAAAATCAAAAGTATTTTAATGTCTTACTTTAAGATACAAAGATTTGCTTCTTCAAAAAGTAAAAGAACAAAAAACTACTTATGTAGGGTAGCCTTCAGCAGAACATCCCCAACAGCAAATTAACCACATCATTACTTATTTTCACAACCTACAAGAAATCTGTACTAATTTGATATGGACCTTTTCTCAATAATAAATATACAAAGATCTCAGTAGATAAACATCAAGAATAGTTTAAGGAAAGTAAAAAAGAAAATGACTAAAAATCATATGGAAATATCTTTAAACTCACAAATAAATAAATGCTAATTAAATTTAATCTAGCAAATTAGGAAGTGTTTGGTATAATTATAATGCTCAATAATGGTAAGGGTACAGAAAAAGGAATATTCTTCTAATATCACATTTTAGAACTCGTTTAAAACATATTTATTTTACTTTATTTTTTTTCTTTATTGATTTTAGAGAGAGAGGAAGGAAGAGCGAGAAAGAGATAGAAGCATCGATGAGAGAGAACATCAATTAGCTGCCTCCTACATGTCCCCCACTGGGGATTTGGCTCACAACCTGGGCATGTGCCCTGACCAGGAATCAAACTGGCAACCTCTTGGTGCATGTGTCAACGCTCAATCACTGAGCCACATCGGCCGGGCTTAAAACACTTTTAAAATCAAGCTGGTGCCCTGATCAGTGTGGCTTAGTTGGTTGAGCATCGCCCTGTGTATTTAAAGGTTATTAGTTGGATTCCCAGTCAAGGCACATGCCTGAGTTGTGGGCTCAGTACCCAGTAGGGGGGAGCTGATTGATGTTTCATTCTCACATCAATGTTTCTCTCTCCCTCTCCCTCTCTCTCTAAAAATCAAGAAAAAATATTTTTTAAAAAAAAGCAAGTTGGCAACAGTAACTTCCAATATATATTAAGTCACTATAATATTCCTAATCTTTTACCCAATAATTTCCCTGCTGGGAGTTTACTAAGGAAAATAATTTTAAATATAGAGATTATCTTTAAATAAATATTTTAATAAACATAAATCTTTATACATCTTTATAAATATATTTATATCTCTTAAATAACATCATATCAGCACATAATATACAGAAAACTTTTTTTTATGCATAAATATAAAGTTTTCATATTTATGCATAAAGATGTTCAGTGCAGTGTTCTCTATAATGGTAAAAACTAAGAACTAATTCAAAAGACCCACAATAGAGGAATAATTTAAAATAACTACATATTCACTCAATGGAATAACTGTAGTCATTTGAAGAGTATTTGGAAAATGAGCATGGAATCTGAAAAAAACCTAAATACTGTACAAGTCTAACTATATGACATTCTGGAAAAGGAAAAACTATGGAGACAGTAAAAAGATCAGTAGTTGTCAGGGCTTAAGGGGACAGGAAAGATGAATAGTTGAAACACAGAGGATTTTTAGGGCAATAAAACTATTCTGTATGACACTAACATACATGGATATATGTCATTATATATATGTTAAAACCGATGAAATGTACAGCACTAAGAGTGAACCCTAATATAAACTATGGACTTAGGGGAGTGATAATGTGTTAGTGTAGCTTCGTCAGTTGTAACACATGCACCACCCTGGTGCAGGATGTTGACAGTGGGGGGAGACCGTGCCCATGTGAGGTCAGAAGTTATGTGAGACTTCTCTGCACTTTCTTGCTTAATTTTGCTGTAAACCTATAACTATTCTAAAAACAAGTCTATTAAAACGAAAAAGCTCAGAAAATGTGTATCACGCCAAAATGTTAAAAAATACAATATATATAATATACAGCAGGATCACAACTATATAAAATACATACAGGGTGTATATATAAGATATATCCTGTTAACATAAGTTTTCTTTCTTTCATTTACTATAATGTGCATATAAACTACTAAATTCAGATCTTTAAAGGTACTTTCCTATAACTAATTTATATATTTAATCCAAGTCAAATAAATTATAGAATACTTCAAGCAAGTTGAATCCTAGTAGTTTTACATTTGAGGACTTTGGTAATTTTGTTAAAATACTTACAAAAATGAGTCTCTATATATGTATATAGTGAGTACATCATCAATGAAACTCAGAATAGTTTTTTGAAAATTTCCTTTGACATTCATTATTTAAACACTATTTTTTTTTTCATTGAAGCACTATCTGGCATTCACTGTTTTTAAAAATCTTACAGGCCCCAATATGCACCAGGTATTAGTTTATCACGCATTTTTATACTCACGCAGTACTTGAGATCTGAGATGTTTGCATTGACCCCAGTGGATCTCTTTAGATTCTCATCATGTGACACAACAACTTGCTCATCTTTTGTGATGTGGCAGTCCAACTCCAGCATATCAGTTCCAATGGTCACTGCACTGAAGAAATACAAAGAATAATGACATTCTGAAACTTAAATAAACATTGAGGTTATACACATCAGATTTAAAATTTGGAATTATAAATCAAACAGCAAAAAAAAAAAAATCCCATAATACTAAAATTTCTCAACATTGTCATCTATTATGATTAACTGATGTGAAAGTACTTTAAGGGAACGTAGAATAATAGAATCATGTTGCTTCCTTTCCATAACCAGCTACCCTAATTTCTGTCAACCTAATATAATGAAAAGAACATTGGACAAGAAGTTAAGAGATCTGGGTGTCAGTACCTGCTTTGCTTCAAACTTGCTGTATATCATTGGACAAGTATATGCCCCCTCTGGGCCTACATTTCCACATCCATAAAATGAAAAGAGTGAAAAACAAGAAAAAGATGACAGCTCTTGCCACTTTAATTCAACATAGGATTAGAAATTCTAGCCAGAGCAATTAAGCAAGAGAAAAAAAAGGAGCAGGGGGTTCCAAATTAGAAAGAAAATAATAAAACAATGCCATTTACAATAGAATCAAAAGAATAAAAAACTTAGAAATTAACTTAATCAAGGAGGTGAAAGACTTGTACAATGAAAACTACAAAACATTGCTGAAATTAGAGATACATAATGGAAAGACACCCATGTTCATGAATTGTAATACTTAACAGTGTTAAATGCAAATACTACACTGATATACAGAGTCAATGCAATGCCTATCAAAATCCCAATAATGTTTTTTGCAAAAATATAAAAATCCACCCTAACACTTTTATGGAACCTCAAGGAACCCCAAATTGTCAAAAGAATCTTGAAAAAGAAGAACAAAGTAGAAGACTCACACTTTCTGATTTCAAAACTTATTATAGCCCTGGCCAGTTGGTTCAGTGGTTAGAGCGACGGCCAACGGACCAGAGTCCTGGGTTCAATCCCAGTCAAGGGCATGTACCCTGGTTGTAGTTTGATCTCCAGCCAATTGGTGTGTCTCTCTCACATCGACATTTCTCTCTCCCCACCTCCTCCCTCTCTCCCACTCTAGCTGAAAATCAATAGAAAAATATCCTTGGGTGAGGATTAAAAAAAAACTTATTACAAAGGTACAGTATAGTGTAAGCCCTGACATTTTTTTCTTGTAATGCAAGTGACTGATTTAAGCTTTGATTGTCAAGGAATTCACTTCAAAGACGTGTGCAAAGATGTCTGAAAAACAATGTAAATGCCTTAATTTAAAAATACTTTTAAAGATGTTAACCATCACCTGAACCTTCAGTGAGTCAGTGGTAACTTCTTAAAATAAGACAATGAAGTTTGCCACATCGGTTGCCTCTTCCTTTCATGATTCCTCTGTATTATGTGATGCTGTTTCATAGCATTTTATCCACAGTAGAAAGTCTTTCAAAATTTGAATCAATCCTCTCAAACTTGTCACTGCTTTATTAACTAAGTTTATGTAATAGTCTAAATCCTTTGTTGTCATTTCAACTATCCTAACAGTATCTTCTTCAGGAGTAGATTCCATCTCACATTAAACTTTATGCATTTCAGAATACTATTATAAGGAACATTTGAAAACATTAAGATAAAAAATTTAACCAAAATGCCACATTAGCATTATTTTAATTCTTCTTTCTTTTCACTTTAGACTTTATTAGATCCCATCTCAAGATACCACTTTCTTTGTGCTCATCCATTAGAAACAACTCCTCATATAATAAAGTTTTATCATGAGATCGCAGCAATTCAGTCATGTCTTCAAGCTGCACTTCTAATTCTAGTTCCCTTTCTATTTCCAATACATCTGCAGATACTTCCTCCACTGAAGTCTTGCACCCCTCAAAGTCATCCATGAGGGTTAGAATCAATATCTTCTAAACTCTTGTTGATGCTGATATTCTGATCTCTTCCCATGAATTGCAAATGTTTGAACATCTAGAATAGTGAATCTTTTCCATAAGGTTTTCCATTTACTTTGTCCAGATCCATCAGAGGAATCACTACCTAAGGCAGCTATAGCTTTACAGAATATATTTCTTAAATAATAAGGCTTGAAAATTGAAATTACGCCTTGATCCATGAGCTGCAGAATGGATGTCATGCTAGCAAGCATGAAAACATTAAACTCAGTGTACGTATCTCCATCAGAGCTCTTGGGTGACCAGGTACACTGTCCATGAGCAATGTTTTATTATTATTTTTTTTTTCTTTATTGATTTTAGAGAGAGAGGAAGGGAGAGGGAGAGAGAGAGATGGAAACATCAATGAGAGAGAACATCAACTGGCCGCCTCCTGCCTGCCCCCCACTGGGGATTGGGCCCACAACCTGGGCATGTGCCCTGACCAAGAATCTAACTGGTGACCTCCTGGTGCATTGGTCGATGCTCAACCACTGAGCCACACCAGCTGAGTGAGCGATAATTTTTTAAAAGGAATCTTTTTTTTATTTTTTATTCTCACCCGAGGACATTTTTGCATTTATCTTCAGACAGAGCGGGAGGGAGACAGGGAGGAAGAGAGAGGGGGAAACATCGATGTGAGAGAGACACATCAACTGGTTGCCACCCACAAGACCCCAAAAGGAGCTGGGGACAAACTGCAACAGAGGTATGTGCCCTTAGCGGGAACTGAACCCAGGACTCTCTGGTCCACGGGCCGATGCTCTAACCGCTGTGCCAAACTGGCCAGGGCAAAAGGAATCTTTTTTTTCTTCTTCTGAGCAGTAAGTCTCAATAGTGGGTACAAAACATTCAGTAAATCATGCTGTAAACAGATGTGCTATCATCCATATTTGTTGTTCCATTGTTAGAGCACAAACAGAGTAGATTTATCATAATTCTTTAGGGCCCTAGGATTTTCAGATGGTAAGTGAGCACTGGCTTCTATTTAAAGTCACAGCTGCATTAGCCCCCAACAAGAGAGACCGCCTGTCCTTTGAACCTTTGAAGCCAAGCACTGACTTTCCTCTCTACAAAAGTCCTAGATAACATCTTCTTTCAATATAAAGCTATTTCATCTAAAATCTGCTTAAGTAGCCACCTTCATTATCTTAGTCAGATCTTCTGAATAACTCGCTGCTTCACCTTGCACTTTGATGCTATAGAGATGGCTTATTTCCTCAAATCTCATGAGCCAACCTCTGCTAGCTTCAGACTTTTCTTCTGCAGCTTCCTCACTTCTCTCAGCCTTACGTGAAGAGAGTTGGGGCTTTGCTCTGGTTTAGGCTTAGGTTTAAGAGAATGTTGTGGCTAGTTTGATCTTCTATCTAGACCACTAAAACTTTTTCCATATCAGCAATAAGGTTGTTTTGCTTTCTTACCTCTCATGTGTTCATTGGAGTAGAACTATTAATTTCTGTCAAGAATGTTTCCTTTGCATTTACAACTTGGGTAGTAGCTCAGAGCAAGAGGAATAGCCTTCAGCTATCTCTACTTTCAAAATGCCTTCCTCACCAAGCTTAATCATTACTAGCTTTTGATTTAAAGTGAGCAGCGTATAACTCTTCCTTTTGCTTAAACACCTAGAGGCTAATGTAAGGTTATCAGTCGGCCTAATTTCAATATTGTTGTATCTCTGGGAATAGGGAGGCCCAAGGAGAGGGAGAGAGATGGGGGGACATCAGTGGAGCAGTCAGAACACACATAACATTTATCAATTAAGTTCACTCTTACATGAGTGCAGTTTATGGCATCCTAAAAACAATTGCAATAGTCACATCAAAGATCACTGATTAGAGATCATCTTAAGAAATATAATAATACCCGGCTGGTATGGCTCAGTGGTTGAGCGTTGACCCATGAACCAAGAGGTCGCCAGTTCGATTCACGGCCAGAGCACATGCCCAGGTTATGGGCCCAATCCCCAGTGTGGGGCATGCAGGAGGTGGCCAATTGATGTTCTCTCTCATCAATGCTTCTCGCTCTCTCCTATCCTTCCTCTCTCTCTCAAATAAATAAAGGGGAAAAAAAAGAAATATAATAATAGCCATGGCTGGTTTGGCTCACTGATTAGAGAGTTGGCCTGAGGACCAAAGGGTCTCAGGTTCAATTCCCGGTCAAAGGCACCTGCTTGGGTTGCAGGTTCGATCCTTATTCTGGTCAGGGTGGTGCGGAAGGCAACCTATTCATGTCTCTCTCTCACATCAATGTTTCTCTTTCTCCCTCTTTTCCTTTCTCCCTTCCACTTTAACTAAAAATCAATGAAAAAATATCCTCAGGTGAAAATTAACAACAACAACAAAGAAACACAGTAATCATAAAAATGTTTGAAATATTGCAAAAATTAAAAAAATGTGATATAGAGACACAAAGTGATGGAAAAATGGAGCCAATGCAGACTTGCTCAATGCAGGTTGCCACAAACCATCAATTTGTAAAAAACAGCAACATCTGTGAAGTGCAATAAAGCAAAAACAATAAAATGAGGTATGTCTATATAAAATTTTATTATGAAAAAATTAGAATGCTTATATTATGAATATATTTCATCTAAAAGATAACATTTGGACACCAATTCATCCACCAACAACAGAATGAATTATAGCAGGAATTTGATCTAAGAAAAACTGAACATCCCTTTAAATATATAAGAACTCATGATTCTTATTTTGCCAGGGAATCTCCTAAATGGGGTGAATGTATCTTTTGTTTTATACTTAAACCTAAAACACATATATTAAAATATTATATAACAATAAAAGAGCCAAGTTTTAACAAGTAAGTTTCTTAATGCTTCTCAAAAACATATGGTAATTCATTGGTTAAAAAAGAAAAAATGAGACTTCTGGTTAAGATGGTGGCGTAGGTAATCGCGGTATCGCGTCCTCCCACAACCACATCAAAGTTACAACTAAACTACAGAACAACCATCATTCAAAACCACCTGAAGTCAAGCTGAATGGAAGTCCTACAACTACGGAATTAAAGAAGCAGCTGCATCGAGACTGGTAGGAGGGGCGGAGGGGACGGGCTGGTCCCACACCCACGTGTGGTAGATAAAAATCAGGAGGACACCTCGGCTGGGAAGGTCCTCCATGAGGACTGAGGGGTCCCCGTCCCACACCAGGTGCCCCGCTCAGGGTTCCAGTTCCAGTGCCAGGAAGAGAAGTCCCCATAACTTCTGGCGGGAACTGAGGCTCAGGGAGGCTGAAGTGGCTGGAGCCCCAGGCAGCTCCTTAAAGGGCCCACGGACTTATCATACTCTCTCCCTCTCCGCTTGGAGGGGAGGCAGCTCGAGGGGCGCTAGAGACATCCAGGGAAGAACTGAGCTGTTTGGCACTGGAGTGAGGGCTGGAGAGGGGGCTTTCTCTGGGACAAACGTGCTGTCAGAGGCCTTTGTTCCTTTGATGAGCCCTTCCCTGGGGCGGCAGACAGTTGCCATATCTGGGACTCCAGCAACCTGGCTCACACTGGTAGCCCCACCCAGGTGACTCCCTGTGGCCCCGCCCCACCCCACCCAACTTTCAGGCCCACCCAAGCTGTTGCCAGTTGCTTAATCATAGGATTGGCCTGTCTTGGATCCTGCTTCAGGTTTTCCTAAATTCTTTCAAACGAGCAGCGTCTGGTCTCAGATAGCCCCATACCTCTCATTAAGTAATACACTGAAACAAACACAGGGAGGCAGCCAAAATGAGGAGACAAAGAAACAGGTCCCAAATGAAAGAACAGAACAAAACCCCAGGAAAAGAACTAAGCTAAATGGAGATAAGCAACCTAACAGATGCTGAGTTCAAAATACTGGATGCTCAGTGAACTTAGTGAGGGCCTCAAGAGCATAATAAAGGACCAGTCAGAAATGAAGGAGGCACTAACTGAAATGAATAATTTATACAGATTCAATAGTAGAATAGGTAAAGCCAAGAAGCAAACCATTGATTTGGAATATAAGGAAGCAAAAAACACCCAATCAGAACAGCAAAAAGAAAAAAGAATCCAAAAAAATTAGGATAGCGTAAGGAGCCTCTGGGACAACTTCAAGCATGCCAACATTTGCATCTTGGGGGTGCCAGAAGGAGAAGAGAGAGAGCAAGAAATCGAAAACCTATTTGAAACAATAATGGCAGAAAACTTCCCTGACTTGATGAAGGAAACAGACATACAAGTCCAGGAAGCACAGAGAGTCCCAAACAAGATAAACCCCAAGAGGCCCACACCAAGACGCATCATCATCAAAATGCAAAAGGTTCAAGACAAAGAGAGAATCTTAAAAGCAGCAAGAGAAAAGCAGTTAGTTACCTATAAGGGAGTTCCCATAAGACTGTCAACTGATTTCTCAAAAGAAACTTTGCAGGCCAGAAGGGAGTGGCAAGAAATATTCAGAGTGATGAAAAGCAAGAACCTACAACCAGGATTACTCTATCCTGCAAAGCTGTCATTTAGAATTGATGGCCATATAAAGACTTTCCCAGACAAGAAAAAGTTAAAGGAGTTCATCACCACCAAACGGTTATTATATGAAATGCTGAAGGGTCTTTTTGAAGAAAAAGATAAAATATATGAACAAACAAAATGGCAATGAATACATAGCTATCGACAATTGAATCTACAAACAAAATGAATAGGCAGAACAGAAACATTCTCATAGATACAGAGAATATTCAGTTGGTTGCCAGATGGGAGGGGGGTTGGGGGAATGGGTGAAAAAAGTGAAGGGATTAAGGAGTACAGATTGGTTGCTAGACTGACAAACCTCAATGGGAAGGGGGTTGGGGGTGGGAAGAAATAAACCAAAGAACTTATATGCATAACCAATGGACACAGACAACAGTGTGGGAAAAGGCGGGAGGGGGGCTGGAGGGGGGAGAAGGGGGTCAATGGGGGAAAAATGAGGAACATCTGTAATACATTCAACAATAAAGATTAAAAAAAGGTTAAAAAAATCTGTCTTTGGAGCCAACCACTTCCCCATTTTCTCTTACTTCACCTATGTACTTCTAATGAACCCTTCCCCGCATTGGCATCCCATTTCAAAAGATCCAATGTCTACTTGCTGCCTTGTGCCGAAATCTCATACTGCTGCTTGACTCCTCCCTTATGTGACCCTCCCCTTCAGTGTCCCGATTATCAGCTAGCTGTTAGAGGAAACCAACCAACCAACCTGGACCCTTACTGTAATTCTTACTAAGATGTAAATAATTAACTTGTTAACTTTGTGTCCTTTTCTAAAGGATATCCACCTTTTAAAATAGAATATTTGTTTGCCAAATGTCTTTGTTAGAGCCAAAATGCATAAAAGTGAAATCTAAATAAGCAAACAAAAACAGTTTTTAGGTTGCCAGAATTATTTTTCTGTATTTTTTAATTTTCCTAAAATATTGTTGTTATACTGTTTAATTTTTTTTTTTTTAAATAACAAATGTAGAAAGTGTAAGTAACATATATAGCCAACAAACAGTTTTAAAATAAAATTCTAAGGTCTGTTATATAGTTTTAAAAAGTGGTACTACTAATTTTTGGTCACACACGTCTTTGTTTTTTGTTCACCTTCCTTTTTTTTTGTATGAGTGTGTAAAGGGAAAGTAAGAGTAGGGGTTATCTGTATTTTAAAAAAATTATACATATTACCTAAGAAATCTTTCTAAATATGAAGTTTGCCTTTAACTGAAATGTTGGCTATTTTTAAAAATGTTTGAGTTATATGCAAAACATTATTTTATGCTTACCTGATATTAACAAGCTAATAAAAATGTAGAGCAATAATAAGTACATCTAAGACAATTTATAAATTATCTCAATTTGGTACAAAAATAGAACATAGCAAGAAAAGAATTTATTTTATCACTTTAGCCTTTAAATTTTTCCATAAATAACAATATGCATCTACATCAATTGAAACACCAGATATTTTGTAGCCAAATTCTGACAAGTTGATGACAAGCACTGAAAAAAGTTAGGGAAGCCAGGCCTCAGCATTTCCAGAAAAAGAAATGCAAACTAGCTTTAAAAGATGTAAAATTACTTGAAACTCCACAGAAACAATGCATACAATTTACAGCAGGAATTTATGTTAAGGAATTTACTTGAATTTCATTTACTCCTTACAAGATTGAGGTTGTATTATCATTATCATTTCATCGATCAGATAATTAGTATTATATTATTAGAGAGTCAAAAAGTTATCATGAGAATCAGGTCGCTGATTAATTACTTTGTCTGCCAACTTATACTTGCAGCTATTGCTAATACAATTTGTTTCTTTCTCTTACCATTCATTTTTTCCTATGGGTATTTACAAAGACAGCCTAGTTTAATAACCTAGTTTTATTAGCTCTTAAGAACCAGATTTTACATACTCAAGGGCTTAGTGACTCGTGTGTGTGTGTGTGTGTGTATAATTCCTCAGTTTTTGGTTCTATGTTTATTATGGATGGGGTTCTATCTTCTTCATCTGTCTTATGCTAATATTCTGCTTTGTTCTTGAGTGCCCCATTCCATATCTCATTCAGTAAGAGCCTGTTAGCACCAGAGTTAGGTGTTAGGGATTGAGAGATCAATAAGGAAGGATGCTTGCTTCCAAGAAATCACTGAAGAGCCATATTCATGCCTTAAGATGTTATTGAAAGCATTTTATAAACCACATTAAAGGACTTTTTATAAATTGTAAGATGCAATTACTTCTCTTTGTCAGTCCTAATTACTTTTTTAGCCTCTCTACAATATAATGAATTAATTTTCCACACAGTCTTAAGGTCCTTCAATTTCCTAGACATATCTGGTCCACATATCCTCACATCTTAATCTCAAACATTTCACATTTTTCCTCTCTACCAAATTATAGCTCTTCTAGTCCTGGTATCCTTTCAATTTTCTGGTTAATCTTAACCTGGCTTCCCACACCAACTATTTATACTTTCTCCAATATTTTCTCATCTTCACATCCATGTCATAATATGTATGTTTTTCGAAGTGTGTATCTAAATGCGTGTGTTGGGAGGGTATATCTCAGTGGAAACTGTACACATGAAATTATACACATATTTAGCTATAGCTAGCTAGCTAAAAATATAATCTCAGTAGAAAAAATAATTTGAATAATTCTGTTTCACAGTCGGTGACAGGAGGAAAGAGTTTGCATTTTAAAGCTGTAAGAGACTTTTGAGATTATAGTCAAAAGGCATCATATCACAGAACAGGAAAGTGAACCATGAAACATCTAGGGGGATGGGATTTAGATGAAACTAAAATATAGAGAAGCAGTACCTTTGGCCCTGATACAGGAAAATGACCTCTAAGGTATCTCTGAATAATGAGAAGCAAGATAAAAACATAAGACAAATTCCCTTGATTTCTTAGCTGTCATTATATACATAAAAATGGCTTTAAAATTACGTAAGAAAATCAGTATGGATAGCTAATGTCTTTCATGGGGTTTAACTTTTCACATTCCCTGTTTTAGACCAGATTACAGATTCAGGTCTGTATAAGAATTACTGGGTAGACACATAACCCTATTCATAAAGAGCAGCCAGTGTAACAGTTGTTTCATTTTCCCCCTTTCTCTTTCTCTCCAAGACTAATTAGCATTACACACAAAATGTTCCTTGTTACAAATGTCTTCTTTCAACTTTGGAACTATAGTCTCTTTTGATTATCCAAAACTCAGATCTAGTTTTTTTCAGTTATGCAGAAACCAGACACTATTTGTAACATTTGACACTAATTACATAAAAAAGCAATTTTAATTAGAAACCACTATTACAAGTGGATGCTACATATATAATATCTTCACTTTGTGAATCATCATCACTTTAAAGATAAACTGTAAAGAAAAGAATACTCTCTTATATACTTACTGCTGAAATGCTGCCATTGTATTCTCCAAATTTTCTCCAGCACCTGTAAAAACATTAAATGAAAGCTTCATTTACTTAGATACTTTGAACATTTTATTTTTCCATGAATTCATTTTAATAAGATATATCTTGTGAATCTTGATGTAGATGTGTAGACATTACAAATGATTTAAAGAGTATAATGGTATTTTGATATTCTTTTCTAGCTGCACCAGGAAGAATCAAAGATCAAAACACAGCCACAGCAACACAGGAGGGTTAGAAGAACCTAAACATGATTTTTAAACTACTTGGCACATATACAACTCCCCAGGCAGAGTTAAACCATCTCTCCTCTGTATCCCCATAGTCTCTTACGCATCTCTCTACTAAGGCATTTATTATATTATAGCATAAATTATTTACCTGTCTCTCTCCTTCCTTTCCCATGAATTACTTAAAATAAGTGATTGTGTTTTAATCACTTTGGCTGAAGGCAGGATAGCATAGTAGTTGAGAGTGGGACTCTGGAGTTGCAATCTCTGCTCTAAAATCTGTTTGATACTTGTGTCACCATGGGAAAGCCACCTAATCTCTCTGTTAGGCTGAGCTCTCTTATCTATAAGAATGAGGATAACGGTGGCACCTATCTCACTGGATTGGTAAAATTAAACGAATTAACATGTTTGGTGCCATGTCATCAATTCAAAGAGTTATAGTTTTTTACTTTTTAATATCTCTAAAGTTAGGGTGCATTTTACAATGGATAGTAACAGTGTAAGTGGCAACTTTTCTCTTAGCAGTACATAAAAATTTGTGCATTTAAAAAAATATACGTTTTTATTGATTTTTTAGAAAGAGGAAACGAGAGAGAGAAACATTGATATGAGAGACACATTGATCGGCTGCCTCTCACATTCCCCACACCAGGGATTGAGCTCACAACTCAGGCATGTGTCCTGACTGGGAATCAAACCTGGACCTCTCAGTCCATGGGACAACACTCAATCCACTGAGTCACACCAGTGGGGCAAATTTGTGCATCTTATAACTAATGGCATTAGATTCAATTAAAAAATTTTTTTTCTTATTGATTTTAGAGAGACAGGAAGTGAGAGGGAGAGATAAAAACATCGATGAGAGAGAATATTGACAAGCCGCCTCCTACATGCCCCCCACTGGGGATTGGGCCCACACCTGGGCATGTGTCCTGACTGGGAATCAAACCAGCAACCTCTCAGTGCATGGGTTGATGCTCAACCGCTGAGCCACACCAGCTGGACTAAAATATTTTTTAAAAATGTTTTATATACAATACCATCTGAACATATTTGCAGAAGTATTAAAATGTTCTTATTCTTTTACATGATCAGATTGTATTTTTATAGCAACCTAATTAATAATCAATAGAAACTCAAGGTATGATGAAACAAATATATTAACCTACTGTTCTAACATAAGTTTAGCAGAGAGAAAGGGATGCATACCCATGTGGAAAAAAGCTACTTTGACTTTAGGTTCACTTTAGTTACCAGAGTTGTTGCACAATAGAAAATAGATGCAATAACTATGGAGATTATAGTTTTTTTTCTTTATAATCCTCATCCGAGGATACTTTTACATTTATCATCAGACAGAGTGGGAGGGAGAGAGAGAGAAACATCAATGTGAGAGAGACACATCAATTGGTTGCCTCCCACCCAACCCGACCAGGGCTAGGGATCAAACCATAACTGAAGTATGTGCCCTTGACCGGAATCGAACCCGAGACTCATTGGTCTGCAGGCCAACACTCTAACCGCTGACCCAAACCGGCTAGGGCTATAGTTTTTTTTCAAAAGTAAGTGCTGTTTTGAGGTTAAATGACTTTTAAAAATCTAGCAGGTGTCTGTTTTAGTTGAAAAATATGGAAATATGTTATATTCAGATAACCAATATTTCAAGAACAAAGCATACTATATATAATAGTAACAAAAAGACAAGAGTGCTAAAGTGGTTATTAACAGTTTAAGTTAAACTACTAGCTGTTTGTTGTGCCAAAATACAAGGAAGTTCAAAGGATACCGAAGCCCAGTTGAAGGAGCTTGCATCAGCCAAACCTGAAATAATGCAGCATCATAATGATAGTAACAGATTTTAAACCACTGAATAAAATAGGAAATTGCCAGTCCATTTTAACAAATGGAAAGTTTGATGAGGAATGCCTATTTATGTTGTTTCAAAGTACCTCCCTAGCCCTGGCCAGTTTGGCTCAGTGGTTGGAGCATGGGCCTTTGGACCAGAGAGTCCCAGGTTCGGTTCCTGCTAGGGGCACGTACCAAAAAAAAAAAAAAAGTATCTCCCTACAAAAACATTTATTAATTACAAAGAGTAAACAATCGCCCTGGCCCGTTTGACTTAGCGGTTAGAGTGTCAGCCCGCGAACCAATGAGTCACAGGTTTGATTCTGGCCAAGGACACGTACCTCCACTGTGGTTTGGCCCTGGCCCTGGTCTGGGTGGGAGGCAACCAGAAGTTGTGTCCCTCTCAAATCGATGTTTTTCTCTTTCTCCCTCCCTCTCACTCTATCCGAAGATAAATAGAAAAATATCCTCAGGTGAGGATTCAAACAAACAAAAACAACAGAGTAAAGGAGTAACTTCACAGTGGAAAAGTCTCTCAGAAACCACTTTAATCAAACGACCCAAGTCCACATCATTATTTTTTAACACTGTCTAAGTCTCTGTAACGGCTTGTCTCACGGAGGAGAGAGCAGGGGAACAGGTTAGACATCGCTGCTGCAGCAAGCTCAAACTGTGTCTGTGTCCTTTTAATTTCCTTGCCCTTTGGTGCAATAAGCAGTGAGTAGTTTAACAGATCAAATCACTAACAGTTATCTCCAGATGGCTGGAATACAAATGATTTATTTTCTAATACGCATTCTTCTATACTTTACAAACCCTCTATAATGAATACGCACTACTTTTAAAACAGAGGAAAGAATCAGAGTCTTTAAGTACATGACATATGCCTGGAACATTCTCTTCGCCATTGCCTCCTAATATTTCTTCACATTAATTCCAGAATGAATTCACTTCACAACTCCTCCATGAAAGTACTTTATCACTTTATCATCTGTAATGATTCTTATTACAGACAAGAGTTCATTAAACTGGCAGTTCCCAGCCATTTTGGTCTCAGGACTCTCACTACCTCAAAGAGCTTCAGAAATTGACTTCTAAAAATGTTTAATTTATTTATTTGAAAATAATAGTAAGCCCATTTCATGGTAACATACATTTTATGAAAATTAACTATCTTTCAAAAAATTGAATGGTAAGAGTAGCCCTGTTTTACATTTTATGCAAATCTCTTTAATGTCTGGCTTAATAGAAGTCAGCTAGATTCTCATGTCTGCTTAATACATATATATCAACCTTGATACAGATATGTAGTTAGAAGAGATTCTTGATACTGCACCAAAATTCAACAAGGGGGAGTTTTATACAAGTTAGTTGCAATGTGGAATCTGAACCATATCAATGTCCTTTTCATACACTCTTTCATAAAAATCCACTGGCTCACTGTAAACTTTGAATAGCTCTTTCACCCATGCATGGTTTTATAATATCGTGCACTAGTCTTTTGGAAAACACTGATTTCCTGAATTATGCTAATCTTCTAAATGCTGATACATTTCATTATTCTATCTATCTATCTATCTATCTATCTATCTATCTATCTATCTATCTATCTATCTATCTATATATCTATCTATTTAAACCTCATTCATTAATATCTGATCTCAGCAGGAGAATCTTTGAGAAGTGAAAAGCTATCAAACTCACAGTGGAGGATACAAGTTTTCAAAGTTCAAATTTTTGCTTAAAAGCTCAAATTTAATCATTTCGTAGAAGGCAGCTAAATTTTTATTCTAATGATACACTTTATTAATTTTTAAGAACATATCTGCTGAATATTCAAATATGAATAAGCAGCAGTCAGTTTTTTAAGTAAAAACGGTGTTCTGTGAGAGAAAAGGTAGATTCGGCTCAGAACTCAAATTATTATTGCACAAGAGCTTTTTCTCAAGACAACGATCACCATACTTTGGTACACAGCAAAAGTGTTTTGTGCATACTTCTAATTTTGTCACACAGAATAGTAAAAGTCATGTGTACTCAAGGGTTGAAATTGAATAAAATTAATAATTTTTACTAACACATCAAAGATAGTCTTAGATTGAGCCTTGTATGTGCCCTGACTAGGGATCAAACTGCAACCTTGGTATATTGGGATGACGCTCTAAGTCTAAGCAACTGAGTACTCGGTCAGGGCAAAAACTGCCGGTTTTTAAAACTGTGAGTGAGTGATGGTGAAGAATACAGTGGCTGCTAGTATCCTTGACACCACTGCTTCATCCTTGGTAAAGAGACAGCAGTTTTACCCACTACTGCTTTTGCACCACTGGCACAAATGTCAACAAAGCGAATAAGGTAAAGAATGTCTTATGAAAACAGTTTTAACCTTGCAGAACCTCCCAGGAGTTCACAGACCGCACTTTGAAAACCACTGTCTTAAATAATCCATTATAGCAAACGTCAGAGAAGTGGTTACTTCTGGGGATGAAGGAGGGAAACCAAAGAATCTTAGATGATTGTAGAAATGTTCTTATCTTGATCTAAGTAGTGGTTACTTGGATATGTACATATACATATTTTTAAATTAAGCTGTATACTTAAGGTCAGCATTACTAACTACATGTATGCTACACCTAAATTTTTAAAAAATGACTTTAGTTCTAAGTCTCAGGATTTTTGTATTCTGGTATATTCAACTAAACCCTCAGAAGGCTTTGTGAAGTATTGTGGGGAACATCTATCCCCTACTACCTGTTTCCACCTAGAGAAGGAAAATTTCCCCTAAGAAGGGAAAAGAATGGAAGGAACACTTTTAACTCTTCTTTACTCCCTCACACACCTCTCCCCATGGGAACAGAAGGGACTCAAGAGACAGAGCTGTCTGTCCATCTGTGACCCAACCCTTCACAGTCCTCTTAATTTGCAGTGGCCCACCCTTAGAAGG